GCAATCATCCAGTTTATTGAAAACAGTGAACAAATACTAGGACAGAAAATAAAAGTAGCCAGGTATGAAAAAAAATTAGATAAAAAACAAGGATAAAAAAATTTTGTAGTTTTCCATGTAAAATAAACACTTCTCTGTTATCCATTTTGACTTGTCTGCTCAAAATATATTAGATACAGATGTCATACTAGTAGATCACTGAACCTACCAAGGGAAAGAAGTGAGACATACTCTTTGCAAGTATTTAATACTTCCTTGTTGTCCTAATTTTCTGTTTCCTAATGTATATTTATTGTTATACTAATATTTCATTTGCTGTAGTGATGAACTAAAGTTCATCAACAGGTGAACTTTAGTAAATGTTTGCCCAGTATCCAAGTACTTTTTATCATGTATGCAAGTGTCTTTTAAGAGAATTTATTGATTTTCCTCTTGTAGTAAATATGTATAATACCTGTATAGATAACTTCGATTCAAAGATTGTCACCTGGACTTCAGTCTACCTTGTTGTCATCCAGAAGATGTGGAATATGTCCTAATTCCATCATCTGGAAATGTACTGAAGTTCTACAAGAGTGTGTGTCTACGTTAGCACATACATATTTAAAGAGGTTTGTCATGTGCCTTTGTACAGATCCACCTTTGAAAGTAGTTAATTTCCTTTTTCTCTCCACCCAGTCATCCACAGTGTGATGAAAGCATAGACAGTAACTAAAAAGACACAGAAACATCTGTCATAAAATGATGCTTCTCAGCTTTTCTAAAAATGTATTTTTTCATCAACTGAGTTTTTCTGAGGTGTGAAAGGGCAGTGCACAGTTCTGGGAGTTGGCAGGTTAAGGACTGACCTCTTTGCAACCTGTTATGAATTGTAGTTAGAGCTGTATCATAGCTAGAGGGTCACTTTGGGCAACTTTCCAGGAGGCCATTTTTATATTGGGATATCCTGACATTTATTGGAATATCCTGGATGCTGAGCTTTATCAGTACATAGGTGGAAAGGGCACTTAAGGCATTTGGTTTTCGTTTCTAAGTCATGGGCTTTTTTATTCCTTCTAACCAATACACTTAAAATTCCTAGCAACAACTTTAGTCTCACTTTATACTCTGATAAGCAGGTTTTTTATCTAAGGGTTGCAAATCCATACTCCAGGACTCATAGTGACCTTCTTCCTTTGTGATTACTTACCAAAAAGTAATATCTTTGAAGGTGGTTTATTTCCTTTTATTTTGTTCAACTTCAAATACATATTTTCAGTGCAATGTGGTTGCAATGTAAAGCATGCAGAAGATGACTCTATTGTCTGCTTCTCTGTACTTGCCACTGTGTTTGAACTTCTAGTATGTAGAGACAAATATAGTAACAACTGTATTTATAAGACTTTTATTAAATAGGTGTTTTCTGTGAAATATGTGCAGCTGCTTCTGCTGCAGGTTGAAGACCATTCCAGCATTCATTTGGAAAATGTAAGACATGAAAAAAGTAATGGACTGAGTAGAGTTGCTGGGCCTTAGTCTCTGAGAAGCTTGTGGTTTCCATGTAAAAAGCTTTGGCTTTTTCTTGCTATTTTATCTCAGACACGTTATTTGTTTTACTGTGTGCTGGTATTTTATTGCTGTAGGGAAATAAATCAACTATTGTGTGATGACTACATAAAACCATAAGATATTAACAAATATTATGTAAAGGAGAGTGAAGAAATGTTATATTGTTTATGAAAAGTTTATTACACTCTGATTATAGCTTCAGTGAAATATAATTCCACTGGCTTCTCCAGCATTGCTCTTAGGCTGGCAGAAAAAAACCCTACATTTATTCTTATGTATCTTTGTCGAAGTTGTGCAATGTAAAATTATTGCAAGGTATTAACATACATTGGTTTGATGTAAAAAAGGAGAAAGTTTATGCCTTAATGTTTTTTGTCAATTTCTTATTTCCTAGCATTATCTATTCACATGGGTAAAATTTCTTAAATTGAATGACTTGGTACTTCTGTAGTGCCTTACAGCTCTGAAATGCTGTGTGAAAATTTATTTCGGCACAGAGCAGCCCAATGAGGAAGGTAGATGAGTAAGTATTATTATCCCTATTTTGCAGATGGGGAAGCTGAGGCACAGAGATTAAGTGACTTTTCCAAGGCCACACAGCAAGTCAGTGGCAGATCCAGGATTAGCGCTCGGGGACTTCCTGGATCCCTCTCCCATGCTTTAAGCAGTAGACCACAGTGTTCACTGGACTCAGCAAGCAACTCATTGCAGTAATGGACAGTTCCAAGGACTTGCACATGGTCAGTGTGTCCACACATTTGTTTGCAGACTGCTGCAGTATATCTGTATGGTTTCACTACTTCAGCCCTTGCAGATTTGTGCCCTATGTCAAATTTTGTACCTTCATCATCTTCAAATGGTGTAAAAGGAAGAAGGGGTAGAATTCTGACATAAATGTGGCATGGCAATGAAGAGCGTTTAGTTTTCATGCCTTTTTCTGAACCTTCTGAAACTGATGGGCCAAGCTGCAGATTGGCCCAAGATTCATGGCTCTGAGGATGTTAGTGTGGAGTTTGGTTGGCATGAATTCTGGCTTCCATGACTGTATTATGGTTAATCTTGCCTACACTTTCAGTTTCAAACTCATTTATTGCAGCACTTAAAAATAATAAGTTGGTAATTTTCCTGAAATTCTAAAAAAAATCAGAGCATTACTAATTGAAATTAGGTTTCCAGTCTCCATTAATCCAGGGGAAAGTGGAGTGGGATCTGTTTTTATTTGTATTGCAATAGTCCTCACTGCCCAATGAGTTTAAGCACTAAACTGTAAGTGAACCTTTGTCTCACCTCTCCCCTCCTCCAAGGGGCAGTACAGGAATCAGAAATTACTTCTAGAGTAAATGCAGTACAACTCTTATGCTGGTAAATGTGAGGTGGCTTTTATGCTGCTCCCTGGGAAGTCAGTGTGTTCAGTGCCAGGCCTGTTTAATTGGACTTTGCTCAGAGTTTGACAAGTGAACTGCTAACAACACAGCACTCCCAATTAAGCTGTTTTTCCCTGTAATATTAATGGAATAAACCCACTTCTGAGAATGAGGCAAGGCTGAGACTTGCTGTGACATTACAGGAAGAGGAGGCAGAGAAGTAAAAGTCTGCCAGAAACTGAAAATTGAACACATGGGAAAGGAGAAGTCAAAGTGTATGAGCATATTTTGATAAATATTAATGAATTAATTTGTATTTAATTTACTTAGATAATCTGTAAAGGCTTTAAAGTGCCCAGCAATTTAGTATTTTCCCCACTGTAAACTCTCCTTAACATTGCTTCCTTTCTGATGTGAATGTCTTATGCTAAGATAGCATTATTTATGATATGGCTCTAATACTTGGACTTTGACATCCTGCCTAATTACTCACCCAGGGGCATGGCATTGTTATGTCTAAGTGCTTCAAAATAATGGATTCATTTTAGTAAAATGATTGAATGGTTTGTATGAAGTTATACTTTCCTGGTACATCTTAATGGGTTATTAGATGATTCTAAATTATTACAAGACAAAACAGTTTCAATAGAAGCCTATTTCTTATTGTCATATTTTAGTTATGTACTATTATCTATGGGAAAGCTCTAATAAAGACATTTTAACACTTGGTCTTTCTTTCTTTAACAGCCCAGATGCTTGGTGCTGACACATTTGTAGGATTTTTCTATGTAAGATAGCTACAGCATGACAGCTATTTTTGAAAAAGAAAGGAGCCTGAAACAAAAACTCACATCCAGAATGCACCACATCCAGCTATATAAGTAAATCTTTTTGCCTGGGGCATCTGATATTTAAGGAGAGGTGCTCAAAGACTTTAATTTCTCATTATATTCCATTGCATTCTATATATAGATGTATATCTGTGATGCAACACTGGTATTTAAATCTCTTTGCTTCAGACTTGCATTAAGATACCAATTTTATGTACTGAAGTCAAGTAGTTCTAGTTCTAATATCACTTGCTAAAACCCCTCTACTAATGACAAGTAAATATATTAATTAGTACTTTTGTATAATGCATCATTTTTCATAATAATTTAATGGAAATCACTCTTTCATGTTGTGAAATAGACTGTATTTAGTGATGTCAAACTCGTAGTGAATCAAATACTCATTTTAGCACAGCTAAAATCTAGTGTCTTGTTGCTGAACCCCCAAAATATTTTTCTGTTAAGGGAAATGAGTTTCATGTCAGAAATGGCAAAATCACTAATTTCTGTACCTTACCTAGCCTGAGTACAATACACTAATTAATCACATACTACTTTTACAGTGCAGTAGAGAGTACAGTTAAAATGCAGGTATGACTACAGGATAAAATGAAACATGAAATCTGTGTTCCTGAGGAAGAATAGCTTTGTTTTCTGCTGTTACTGTATGCTGCCTGCCTTTATACCAAATTCAGCTTGGTGTTTGTAAAGAAAAGCAAAGGCTTTGCAATTCACCAGTAAGTGAAGCCAGTTGTTTTCATGGTGTTAGTTTATTTCTTACCATATTGTCACTGAGTGTTATTGTCTAGCTTTGCTGAAGTATAAGAAATCTTAGTAGTAGTAGTTAGGGAATTTTTCATGTAGCTCAAGATCCTGGTCTAAAGGCAAAAATACATGTGCAGCCCCTTTCTTAAGGTGCATGAGAATAAAGCTACCTTGATCAGACATTTCTTCTCTCATCTCTTTCATTGTCCTACTGGCTCATGTTTTTCCTGGTTTCCAGTAACCTGTGTTTACTCATCATCTTGCAGGTTTTACCATAAGTTTTGCATGTCAAAGTTAGCTGTAATCATACCTCAGTAAAAACTGATACAAAAGAAATAGATTTAATAAGTAAAATTAAATTCTTATACCTCTTTTTGTTCTTGAGTTGGAAAAGTTAAAATATTAAAAACATCTTTGTTTTATAGTACTGTACAATCTTGCCAATATTTTCCAAATGAAAAGTAGCTTATCTGTCTTTTTTTCTGTTTTGTAGAGAAATGATGAAGAGGCTGTTGTGGATAGAGGTGGAACTCGCTCCATTCTCAAGACACATTTTGAAAAGGAAGATCTAGAAGGTGAGGGATGATTTTTCTGTGCTTTATGTTGTCACTTTCTTCTGAAAGTACTGAAATGTAATTCCAATGTGTAAACTTATTGATTTGAGCAGGGATGCAAAGAGACAAGAGAGCAGAATATTGTCATTTATTTTAAGAAAAGAAATACTATTCTCTCTCACAGCAGTATCCAGAAAAGATGATAGTGGAAGGAGTTTGCTAGTTTTTGGTGATCCATGGTCAAGTCCTGTGAATATGCATGTGTGACTTTAGATAAGTCTTTTAAGCTTTCAAATATGCAATTGCAAGCAGGACTGCTGATTTAGTACTTATAAAGGCTTCTACATTTGCATTACAATCCTTGTGTAGTTGCCTAGCCACATCTTCAGCTGAACAAAAGCATTCTGGCAAAAGTCAGAGATTGGATACATATTTGCTGATATCCACTGCAGAAACCACCTAACTTGACCATGTAGAAGAAAGTGAGAAATTATGAGAACTGTTTAGGTACTGGTTTAATGAGTCAGTTGCATTTCTGTTTGTTTAGTGTTTCCCAAGCTTTGGCTACTACTGTACTTAAACTCTTGTATTGAGTTGTGTGAGCCCCCAAGTCATAGTTATGATGAAAATGAGTTTCTGTTGCACGTATGATATCCCTTTCCTGAGACTGGAAATGGCTGATTTTGTTAGCTTTTTGTAGTGGGACATGGAGGTTCCTGGTTTTGTCACACAGATCCACATGAATTAGCCCAAAAAAAATACTAAGATCAACATGCTACATCTGAAAAGTTCCCTGCTTCAGGTCTAAAGAGAGCTATCTCCATCTGTGCAGGGAATTGAGTTTTCTAAATGCCTATCATTGACTACATATTTTTTTTTTCTTTTTTCTGTCTCTATGAACTTTGTGTTCTCTGATACGTGTTGGCCATATTGATGATTTCATTGAAATACCAGTGAAACAGAGCAACTCTGTTACTGCTTCCTTCAGCAGTGCCTCCCTCAAAAAGCAAATGTAGCTGCATTTGGGAGGGGCTTGGCTGTGTCTGTGTGAGGTTGTCTCTCACAGAAGGATGTTAGAAGTTGTGCCGGGTGGCATGTATGAGGTAGGTAGCTCTCTGCTCAGCCTGGGGGAAGTCTGGGTGTGCGCAAGGATAGAGCTCAGGTAAGATGTTTCAGGGCGGCATTTAGAGATTTGGTGTCTCCAGGGGAGAGAGTACCAGTGGGTCAGGCTGGCAATGCCAGTTTTGGGCATAAACGCAAAACCTCTTATTTTGAATCTCACATTTAATCTATGGTCTTCAGTCTCTTGATTGTGTCCTTGATCAAAGAGAAACCACTGTATCTGGTGTCCTCAGAGAAACACCCAATAAAAAAAAGAGTGGGAGCTCCCAGTCACCCTTTCTCCATGGTACTGACTCACAGAGATTTTGTGGGGTGAGTCAACCCACAAAAATATCCTTTTGCTGAGTCATTTTGTTGATGATAGTGAGATGGTATTTTAAAGATGGACAGCTTTCTGAAGAATGACATCTTTAAGCTCAGTCACATAAGCTTAAGTCACATTGAAGTTGTCAGAGTTACTGCGATGTTCCACATGTGACTATGTGGAACATAATTTAAGAACTGTATTTAATGATTCCCCCCCCCCCCCCATCCTGTATGTATAGAGTTGCTCCTGAGAAATATCAGTGAAAATACTATTTCAAAGGTATGCTCTTAAGATGTTATCAGTAGAAATTGGAACATGGCAGTGACACTCCGACAACCTTCCCATCAATTTGAATGAAATTTAGAATATTGAAAAATTCTTCACTTATCAAATATATCTGCTTTTATTAAAAATAAAACCCTATTGTTTCACAGTGTTCTACGAAAACAATTTTCCATGTAGAATCAATCCTTCATGATGCAGTTAACTTTCTCAGATAATTTCATGCTCACTCTAAGTTCAGATCAGTTTGTCCTTAACTATATAATCACTACATTCAAAAATACCAAGTGACATAAGTTTTGAAGACATTGCAGATTTTAATATCCAGTTGCTGTTAATAGCATGTCCATTTGTTTTGAAATACATCTAGGCACTTCTCCTCCTGGAAACAGAGAATGTGACTCACAAATACCTGTCTCATTCACTGACATTGTGTTGGGTTCTGCTGAAAAATGCACCTTTTTCTTAATGACATAACAACTATGAAATATGAAATTAAATAATCAGGTGCTAATTGCATACCTTAGAAAAAGAGTATAACCAGACTATTAATACATATTACGTAATTAGCTTTTTGACAGACATTTAATTGGGTTTATGTTTTAAAATGTAAATAGCTAGTTACTGAATATTCTAGAGAAGAATAGCTTTGCCAGGGTGTAAGTTTTAATGGCACCATGTCAGCAACATTTCAAAAATTGCAATTCATATGAAGAGCTACAAGTTTAAATCTGAAAAACAGTATTCAATTTCTTCTTATTAAATCTTATAATTGTAAGTATTTTGTCTTTAAAAAAAATGAAACTATCAGCATTCAAACTTCAGAAATACAGATTTAAATGTGTATTAAAATTTCCATCTGAAATTTCAAAGTCTAGTAAATATTTGGACTTGCATATTTTAGGCAGTCATTGTATAAGTATATTGCAAGTACATTTCTTGCTGAAAGCATGAAGATATGGTGATTAATCCTGCCTTGAAGAATGGATACAAGAACAGATTTTTCCTCAGTTTCTCTAGATCAGTATTTTCTTTATCTGAGCAGTGTAGTAAAACTTTGGGAACATAAGACAGGAACTGCGGTACCTATCGGAACAGAAGAGATGTGGTGCTCATCTTAGTGCTGTAATGATACTTGCAATAAGTATTTCAAATGGTATCTTTTTACTTAAGTTTTGTAGTGCTTCAGAGGTGAATTGTCTGCAGAGCTTTGGCATTCAGATTTTCAGCATGAATTATTTTTCCACGTAGTTAATTTTTTGTGAGTTGTATGGTCAGGATCAGTCACTGATATTGAATAGGTCATTTGTCTGACTGTTGCATTCATGGAGGGACTGAGAAAGCATTTCTAAAAGCAAAAAAGAGATGATATTCCCTGGTTATAATCACCTGTTTTGCATGTTATCTTTCAATAAGGAAAAGTAGGACAAAAATCCTACTGAAATAAATATGCTCTCATTTCTATCAGTGGTGGAATTCCTAAATGAGAATTGGACACTGATTCTGGATGCTCAGGTATTTAATTGCAGAATGACAGGTTGTACATGTACGTGTGCTGAGGGCAGCTAGGCACGTTTTCCTGGACACATGTGCACTTCAGCAGCTGCTCTCAGCTTATTCCATGGGGTTGTCTGGCTGGCTGCCATTGCTTCAGTGTATGTTCAGTAAGAGCAGTTTCTGATCAGATGGATATACCTACTGTTTATCTCATAGGTCAAAAGTACTTAAATTGCTCTATGTGGGAGATCTCAGATTCTCTCAGGTCACATGCTGACTTTTGGACTCTGCAGATATGCAAGGGGATTGACATTAAATACACTCTGGCCAAGGCCTTTTCTTTATGCCCACCGTGTTAGCTGAGGGGAAAAGTGACTGTTCCACAGACTCCTTGCTGGAGGTGCTCAACTGCAGATTGAGGATTTTTGTGAGAGTATTTCAGAACTGCTGGGGGTATTACTGTGGCCTGGTTTGAGAAGCATCTTCAGCTGGGAGATGGGTGGAGATCAGATTGTTAGGTGAAGGTCCAAGCATGAATCAGGGATGAATTCTGACTCTGTTGGAGAAAATGGCAAAATGATCCTTGATTCAGAGAAATCAAGATTTTGCTTAAGCTTTTTATGTTTCATTCATTTAATCTGCCTAAGTGGCATGCGAAAATTTGCCTCAGGGGAAATCAAGTTTGCCATGTTTCATATCTCTGAGGACACATAAAACACTGTATCCAGTATATGCGTGACTTTACATCAGAATATGACTCCTGACACATTTTACAAAATTCAGACTACGTGGATTGCTTACTGAAAGTCACAAAAAATCTTCAAGCTTAATTAGAATATAAATATGACTGGTGCAACACAGAATGATGCAGAAGCTGAGACTTTAAACTTAATAAACCAAAAATTATTTATAAATTTTGTAGCGATATTTTGTAATTAACAACCTGCATGAAGGATAATTTTAATAGTAGGTGCTGAACAAAAAAGGTGAAACTCCAGAGTATTTAATTATACTCTTTTAAAAATAATGATTTTAGTTTTTTTTTTTTAATTTTTAGATTTGTTCTAGCTAGTGACAATAATTTAAAAATTATTTTCATGAAATTTTGATTATATACTGTTAGGGTTAATATATGAAAAACCTCATTTTGATTAAATGCTAAACTCCATATATTATTACTTAGTAGAAATTTGAGTTTAAGTAGCCTTTTATTCTCAGAGACTGGACCTTTTTTGTAGAAATAACATCATAGCACACCTGTCTGCCACTGACATTATTTACCTGGAAATTAATAGGACCTAGCAGCTCATAGGACTGAAAGAATATAAATTTTAATAACCTGGCCTTGATTCACCTGTGCCTCAATGTAGAAACAAGTCAGACACCGGCTCTGCTTGGTCAGACAGGAGCATCAACCGAGATTTCCCTTCCCCTTGGCTCCCAGGATGCTGCAGCCTACTGCAAATCATTTGTTACCATGTCAGTACAGATCCCCTGCTCCGAGCTTCCTTGCCTGTGCTTCCCTGGGGTGCCCTGCTCGTGCTGCTGTTGGCTCTGACCTTGCTCGTGCTCCTTGCAGCGATGTTTGCCGCGCTTCGATGGGAGCAGAGTCCAGAATGGTTTGGCTTTGTCTGTACCTGAAAGGTTGCTCTTCCATTTGCTGCCTACCAGGTATCACATATTCAAGCTTGTTCCCTTTGTGATTCCTAAGGCACATGTTTCTGTAGTGCCTCTCATCTAGTTTTGGTTTTTTTTTTCCCTACATAATTCAATATTGCCTGAGATCTCACTTTCCTCCTTTTGTCTTGGCGGC